AAAATTGCTATAGAAAGCGAAATAACAGATTTATAGCACCTTCTGGATATGTTTACGTAACAAACCTCTGTAATACAAGTGCCCTTTTGAGTTTTGACGCCGAAATTCAAAGTTTCGCGTGCAAAACAATATGTCTTATACCACGCCCACAGAAGTTATTATGTCAAAACAAAATGTTTTAGGAGCGAAATAAAAAGTTTTGAATGACAAACTCATGCTGAAGAAACGTTTTAAAACCTAGTTATAAATGCACGCTTCACGGAAGCTCGAAAATGGTAGTAACGATTGTATTCGTACCAAAGTTATTAGAGAGGTTCAGATTTGACTTCCACTATCGCTAACTCTCACTGCCCAGAGGAGGAATGAGGGTCTTCCCGAAATGCAACGCGCGAATCAGTGCGGCTCATTATTATTCAAGCTATTTATTCTCAACGCGCCGTTCGATTAAAAACTGTTGAAATATATTGCGATTTTTGCCGTGAAGATCTCGTTTTCTCAAAGGTCTGTTTCGATAACCTTTTTGTTTAGTTATTTAATAAAAGAAGTTTTGAATAATTTTGTATATATATCGCATTTTACTTATATTAAATTCCGATTGTATTTATGCATGTTTTGGGTGTTGGAAAAGTGGCATTGAAATATTCTGGAGTAAATTGTACTTTTTTACAAGGAAACTAAACTAAAATTACATCAGTGAATTCAGGAATGTTTACTCTTTATATTGATACTTTAAAACATGAATTTACTCCATAAAACCGAAGAGTTATCGCACAGGCGGCCCAATCTCGCAAGGGTCAGTATAGACTTTATACAGTATAAATTTATATTATATTAATTGTATATTATAGTAAAAATATGTCATAAAATATAAATTTTAAAATGAAATTGACTTGCCTATTTGATAGTGTGTGTTCTCCTTGTATTCCTCCTTTGTTGGACTAATATTTTCCGAGACTTTGTACTCGATGTTACTAGTATACATGAAACATGATAAAGGCTAACGATTCACGATCGTCGATACGACGGCACGGCACTTCGAATCGAAAATTCTCACTCTCAAATCGCTTTATTCTCAAAGAAAATTCGCCAGCATGTACAACAAATGCCGTTCTTCGAAAATACAGAGGTATTTCGGCGAGATGTACAAGTTTTCGACCATATTTTAACAATGGAAATCAAAACCCATTTTATATTGAACTTACCCGGACCGAAAATTACTACGGCGAACGTCTGCGCAACCAGGCCTCCTTTACCGTTGGATTTACAGGGGGGGGGGGATGCCACTAATATATTCACGATAATATTTCGAATTAAAGTATCATATTCTACCATACTTTCCAACAAAGAGCCGCTGTAATGTTACTTCTTCCTTAACTTTCTTCAATCTCCGTCGTTTAATTTTCTTTTTTTCGACAACATCTCGAGTTTTATAGAGTATCCGATCGAAGGAGTTTTTATTTTGAATATCAAATTTCAAATAATGTAAACAGTCGCTATCACGGTTGCGATTGGCTGGCTGTTACCGGAAATATCTGCTTCCCCCCCTGTAAATCTCAACGGTAAGGAGGCCTGGTTGCGCAGACGTTCGCCGTAGTAATTTTCGGCCTGGGCAAGTTCAATATAAAATGGGTTTTGATTTCCATTGTTAAAATATGGTCCAAAACTTGTACATCTCGCCGAAATACCTCTGTATTTTCGAAGAACGGCATTTGTTGTACATGCTGGCGAATTTTTTTTGAGAATAAAGCGATTTGAGTGTGAGAATTTTCGATTCGAAGTGCCGTGCAGTCGTATCGACGATCGTTAGCCTTTATCATGTTTCATGTATACTAGTAACATCGAGTACAAAGTCTTGGAAAATATTAGTCCAACAAAGGAGGAAAAAAGGAGAACACACACTATCAAATAGGCAAGTCAATTTCATTTTAAAATTTATATTTTATGACATATTTTTACTATAATATACATTACTGTAATATAAATTTATACTGTATAAAGTCTATACTGACCCTTGCGAGATTGGGCCGCCTGTGGTTATCGCGGTTTGAAAATGAGCTATTTTTGCTATATTCGATAATTAGCAAAAATTGCTCATTTTCAAACCGCGATAACTCTTCGGTTTTATGGAGTAAATTCATGTTTTAAAGTATCAATATAAAGAGTAAACATTCCTGAATTCACTGATGTAATTTTATTTTAGTTTCCTTGTAAAAAAGTACAATTTACTCCAGAATATTTCAATACAACTTTTCCAACACCCAAAACATGCATAAATACAATCGGAATTTAATATAAGTAAAATGCGATATATATACAAAATTATTCAAAACTTCTTTTATTAAATAACTAAACAAAAAGGTTATCGAAACAGACCTTTGAGAAAACGAGATCTTCACGGCAAAAATCGCAATATATTTCAACAGTTTTTAATCGAACGGCGCGTTGAGAATAAATAGCTTGAATAATAATGAGCCGCACTGATTCGCGCGTTGCATTTCGGGAAGACCCTCATTCCTCCTCTGCTCACTGCCTTAGTACACTTTTGATTGGTTAATTGGATATATGAAACGCATCTGATTGGTTGATTGTCCCTCAATAGTGGAAATCAAATCTCAACCTCCACTAATCGCGCTTAGAATTCCTAGAACGGAAGAACTTTGACCTGTGCAATTTTTGCCACAATTTCTAGTGCGATTTTCGTTTTCTGATTATTATAAGTCAAATGTGAAACAGAATACATGAATGAATCTAACTGCTATGACTTTGAATACATTAACATTTCACATTTGGGTACTTATTTCAGCATGCAGGTATAACCGGCCACTCTTAAAAATTAAAATCACATACATGGCACATGTGCAAACTGGACTATACATCATCTTTATCTATCTACTGATTGATGCTAATTTCTAACAAAATAAATTTTCCGGGAAAAAATTTTTGATACTAGTCGGGCATAATCACGAAAAGTCGGGCAATTTTCTTTCCGCCCCCCTAATTTTTTCCTTCCGGTACGCCCATGATGATGACACATCATTTCATACAAATTTATACAAAACCTCTTCCCAGAACATAAAAGTAGCCTCCTCCACAGGCATCTCTTAATCGTCGAGAACTTATATAATTTAGTTATTCAAATAATAAAACATGACTTGCTTGTAAATTCTTGTAAATTCTTTATTGACCAATATCCATAAGCCTTCCTAAGCCGGATTTTTTCAAAGACGAAGTTCACGGTTTTCATGTGGAAGCATATAACATGATTTCTCGGTTAACACTTTTTTCCATCCAGCAAACCGCCCTATCGATTTTGTAAAGTCGTTTCTTTTTGGATTTTTTCATTAATTCGGTTAGGGTTAGAGTTAGAGTTAGGGTTAGGGTTAGGGGTTAGGGTAGGGGTAGGGTTTGGGTTAGTTACATAGCCATTTAACACCTGCGAAAATGACGCCAGGTCAGTTTGCTGGATGGAAAATAGTGCTAACCTGGTTGGTTTCTCGTGTTAAATTCTTGAGCAGTATATTGTGGTACAGCTGTAGTTTGTTTTTAGAAATGATATTATTTCCAAGGTTAATTTTAGTTTTCTAAATGGCTGGTGCAATTAAACAGACAGTTTCTCTTGTAGTCGTGCTCTTCACAGTGGGAAAGTGCTGTTCTGGTGCGAATATTCTAATTCTTGGAATGCCATTTTACAGCCATCTTTTTGGACCTGCAAATCTTGGGCAATTTCTACAAACTCAAGGGCATAATGTTCTACTTGCCATCCCACCTCAGCTGAAGGGGAAACTAGAGAACCGTGGCATTAAACTCTTGCTTTACCACAGCTTGGGTGAATTTCCCGAAGATCGCTTGCTGCGAGAGTCCATTTTGAATGGTTATTTTACAACTACATCATTGCTGCAATCAATAATGGTGCAGTCTAAAGGTACTGATATGACACAGAGAGTCCAACAAATTGCGACAAAAATAGTGACAGATGTTAATTTGCTTAAAAACATTGAAAATTTCAAGCCAGATTTGATCATGTTGGATTCTGGGCCAACTGCTGTTATGTTTACTCTCATACCATACAAGCTAAATATTCCTTTTATTATGATTGGAAATGAGGAATTTCCCCAGTGCACTCGAGTTCCTATCCTACCCACTGTGTTTCCCTATAAAAATTATCCTTATACTGACCACATGACTTTCTTACAACGCATCACAAACACTTTAAAATATCTGCAAACATATCAGAAATATCCATATATTAATTTGTCACTTATCCATGAATATGTCCCAGAGAAACCGTATATTTCTCCAATAGACCTTCAAGCCAAGGCACTACTTTGGATAGTTACAGAGCATAGTGTGCTTAGCTATAACTCACCTATAATGCCTAATGTAAGACGAGTTGCTCACCTACAGACGCTCGTACGCAAACCACTCCCACCAGAGTTCCAATCGTTCATAGAAAGTACAGACAATGGCATTATCATTGTTTCATTTGGAACAGTACTGGCGTCTGTACCCCCTCAAGTAAAGGATAATTTTTTAGCAGCGTTTGGACAAACAAAATATAAATTTATCATCCAAAGTGCTCTGCCACAAAATAACCAGTCAGATAAATTCATGTTCAGAAAATGGCTCCCGCAGTATGATTTGCTTTGCCATCAAAAGACAAAACTTTTCATCACTCATTGCGGAGCAAATGGTATACAAGAAGCACTGATTGCCAGGGTGCCCATAATTGGTTTCCCAGTATTTGCTGACCAACCACACAATGCTGGCATACTTGTGAGGAAAGGGTATGGCTTAAAGTTGGACCTCAGGTCATTTTCTGTTCAGGAACTGGTTTCTGCAATCGAAGAAGTGACAGTGAATCCTTCATACAAAGCTAAAGTGGAGAAAGCTTCTGCCATTTTGAAATCTGAGAGGGTGCCACCTATTGAAGAGGCAGCATTCTGGATTAACCATGTTCTCACATTCGGTGGTGATCACTTAAGATCTTACGCACAAGATATTCCATTGTGGAAGTACTTTGGCCTGGATATAATTGCTTTCTTCTTCATACTCTGGCATGTGTTTGTTTATCTACTCATAATACTTTTCAAATGTTGTTTCTCACATTGCTGTGGAAGAAAGGAAAAACTGAAAGATGAATAGAAAAGAAAGCATGTAACATCGGCATTAGATCATATATCAATGTTAGGCTAGGTGGGCAGTTCTCCAATATACATTGCTATCTGTGAATGTCTTAGTCAGCAGTATTGGCAGGGTGTTAGCCAGGATTTCAAAAGTGGCCGTCCAAAATACCTTTGTGGGCGTGGTCACAAATTTTTGTGGGCGTGGTCACATGTTTTTGGGCGTGGCCGCAATTTTTTGTTGCTGTGGAATTGTGGTGTTCTATTCGTTGAACCTTTTTACTTTTAGTTTGAGATGTACATTTCCGTCATTAAATTAGTAAAAGCACACGTATGGCATGAACCGTATGATTACACGCGTAAAAACGCTCAGGTTGATGCAATACTGATGAAAACAGGATTGAACAATGTTTTGCTGCCCTGCCCACATTGTTCATAGCTGTCAACAATATTGAACAATATTGTTACACCCGATTCAGGCTCAACAACATTGTTAAATATTGTTGACAAGTGTGAACACCGTGGGCAGCAAAACATTGTCCAGTCCTATTGAGCAACGGGCTTGGCGTTTTTTGCCGTGTACTACGATGTACAGTATATGCTATAATGAAGAACACAATACAGCAGTGTAGTGCTTAGTTATTTTTTATCAATGACCGATATTTCTTACCTTTTTTTATGCGTTTGGCTCATTTTACAGCCCCATCTTTACCGTAACTGTAACTCTAAAGCACGTGACGCTCGAGCAATAAAGCGATTGCTGTTTTTTAAAACAGAGGTTTCAAATTATTCTCCTTGATACTTCATGCGAGAATCATCAACATGCGGTTACAAAAACATGGTGCGTTTGCCGAGATACGTTTTTTAGTTCAGCCATATTCAACGTGTTTTCGACGGGAAACAGTATGAAAACATATACCATAAGCAAAGCAGGGCCTCTTTTAAGGATATGTAACTGGGTGGGACATCTTTCCCAAGGGACCAAAAATAACGTAAAAAGGGGACCTGAAAAAAATCTACTAAAGTCTATAAAATTGCGGCTACTAGCTTAAATATGGGTTTCGCTCTAGGGCAGCAGATGATGGTCAAATTTAGAAAATAATGTCAAGTTGTCAACACACCTTTTTCTCACTTATATATAATTGCCAGGCAGCTAGTGAAACTCGTCTATACAGTATACCACTATATACATGTAATCTATCAATCAGCAGTCCGATGTAAAAAACTTCTTTACGAAGTCACGTTCCGCATATGAACTCAGATTAGGAAGATTCATTCGCCTCTGTTTTTTCTGTAGAAATTCTTGCACCATAGGACTGGGGTCAAACTGAGATGTTGGCACTCCATTCCAGTGAATCAATAGCCTATCATTCAATGTTTTTTCAGATGTGGCCATTCTCAGGTTGGAGAATAACATGTTGTACGTTGACACACATCTTTCCACCGTCATACTGTGAGGGCAGAGAACACAAAAACCTGACAAAAACTTGGTCACAGGTTGTTTGCTGCCCCTTAGCATTTGGTAGAGTCTCACACCATAGTCTCTTGCAGGAATATGTGTATCAGGAAGCATTTCCGTAAAATTTTCTAAAACTGCATCAATAAATGCTTGTTTATCACTGATTCCACTTGATTCAAGTTGAGGTAATGCAATGTTGATGAATTCAATTGCACGTTTTGCTGAGGTCAAGTTGATAATGGTTGTTACAATTTCTGTTTGTTCCTCGTTGAGCCTGGTCTAAACATGATAATGATATACATAAAAAATATAGGTAATAGTAATTAAAAACTTTATATGGTGTGACCTGATTGCTAAACAGATATGAGATTACCTATTTATCTCATTTTACCTGGAGAAAATTCCTTGAAGAATCAATAACCTCTTGCCTGATAGGTTGTTTTCCTCTACGAAACGTTGTCACATTGGTGTTGTGTGTCCTTCTTGGTGTATTATCCACTGCTTCATCATTCTCTGGATGCAGTTCTGCAATCTTCTTTGTTAATAACTCCTCCTGCCCACCTATGTGCAGTAAAATAACATACAATGTAATGAATAATACACCTTTGTTAAAGAACTCAAATAAGAGTGAGTTCAATTTGTTTTCTATAAACAAAGTAACTTACTAACTATATATATTTTACCTGGATATGGCTCTGTTTGCATTATATCAAGTTTTTGCAAGGCAGTATCTCTGTACTTCAAGATATCAGGAATGATAATGCCAGGCTTCTGGGCTTCTTTTTCAATATATCTGAAAATACAGCATGTGTCCACCATAACAGCAGTTAGCCATGCTTGCACTCCTGTTGGTTGCCACAACTTTAAAAATCCTTTTGCACACGATACCTCCTTGGTATTATATTCTCGAGGAGCATCACAAATCTTTTGCCAGTGCTTTAAACATCCATCTAAATTGAATAGTATCGCTCCACAAATTTGAACAAGATGTTGAGCAAACCTTACCTCATGATGAGGAGGAAAACTTCTCATGTCTGGTTTTATGGTCTTCAACTCCTTAGTCCTTAGGCCTGATGTGCGGTAATAAGTAGCTACTCCCGTTACATTGGAAAGCCAGATTTTCAGTTCAGGTACCAACCTAAGACATTATAAATGTTAACATTAATATAGCCTTATAATTTATTTTTTTATCTTTTTTTGCTCAGGGCTTCACTTAAAATCTCTTTTGTGAGTGGACTTCCTAATGGAATATTGTAATCATTATTTTATTATTATTAATTTATTATTATTATTACCTCATCACATCTTCCATTGCTAAGTCTGATCGGTGACATGCACACCAGATATTTCTTGTTGAACGACCAACATAATTTTCAACATCGGTGCTCATCCCAACAAATTTTGACTGCAAACATTCTTTAGAAAGGCCCATGTCATCAAAACAGTTTGTCATGGCAGAACACAAACCTTCAGCACCACGCTTGGTACTTTCCCTTGCACTTGCAAATCTTGTCTTAATTAATAGAAAGAGGGTCCTCGGGTGTATTGAATCGAACAAATATAAATTTCTTATCTTGTTGCCTAGCATCGACAGAACCATCCATTTGTGCAGCAAAACAAATACAGTTCTGGAGTTCTTCTCTAAGGTGCTTTCTCTCTGTATCTCCTATTATCTCCAACATTTCTGCATAATGCATTGGATCCCTATAATGAAGTTCCTCTCCACTTGGTTTAAACGGGGTAAAACTTTGTACGTTGTCACTGTCAGTTAAAGCCGACCTAAACTGTTGTTGTGCATGTAAATTAGCAAGAGATCTACCTGGCCATGACCAGGCAGCTAAAGTCAAAGATTTACTGTCATTATAGACCTCTACTGCCATTTCAGTCAAGGTATTCAAAACTGTTGGATCACTTTTTGTTGCCAAGTTAATAAATGGGTGACGTTTGTCTTTGGCATTCCACAACTTGGATAGCTGTTTCTTTTCTTGAGCTGCTCTATGTGAAGGCCCCAGTAGATGATCAATTACATCTTGTATCTTTCTCTTCCCATCACAACGCACACCTTGTGCCATGTACACTCTACCATTAGCTGAAAAGCGCTTTGCTTCCTCTTCGAATTCACCACAGATGCAACACTTGACAAAACCCTAGCTTTCTGGCGATTCTGCGTTGAAACTCTACTTCGTTCATAATATTGAGATAGTACACCATCTCCAAATTTTCCTAGAAGTGCTTTTAGGTTTAATGGGTAGCCTCTGTAATACTCAGTAGTGGTTTCAGTAGTCATTTGCGTTGACGATGTGTTTGCTGTGCTTATTGGCAAACCAACGTCACTTGTTGTAACCAAAGTAACGCTGTTTATATTTGCAGAGCTTGTTGACGATAAGGTCGAAGGTGTAGTATTGCTTGGAATATTATTCGAAGGAGCCCGTGTATGAACAAATTGAACATTACCTTCCCTATCTGAATTTCGAATATCAAAATCCACTTCATTCAGTTCATTGTCTTTACGAGGTTCTCCTTGGTCAGTGCCTCCAGTAGCTGCAGTGCCTTGTACTTCGCTTTCCACTTCAATTGGCGCCATATTTCATAATTGTTCTGACTCCTTCTCAACGTTTGTATCGCACGATGTCGATGACGATGTTCTTGCATTTTCGTTCTTTGTGAAGAAATCCGATACCTTTTTGCATTTACTCGCTTCTTGTTTTAACAGTTTTTCAATATTCGCTTTTCTTTTATTTGCATACGGCATTTCTAATACTAATAGTACAAACAAAGGCAAGCAATTTGCATGTAAATTTTGATGTAAATTATGTTTTTGAAATTCCCAACTAAGCTTCCCGAATATCCCGAGATTTCCCCCAAAATCCCAATGTTCCCACTTTCGTTCCCAGTCCCACTTTGAAAAATATTTTTTTGCAGATCGAAATTTCCTATTTGACTATTTTTCTATTTTTCATTGTCCAGAAAGGGAAGGCAAAGGAATAGCAGAGATTCTGCGAAAGGAATACTGGAATAAGGATTAATTATGTTGTCCAATATTGACTTTGGGAGTTATTTTCACACCAAAAAATATGAAAAGGGACTTTCTACTGGGGGGGGACCAAATGCCGACTGGGGGGGCAGTAAGGGGGGCTGGGGGGGCCATGTCCCCCCCAGTCTTTATGTTAAAAGAGGCCCTGATTTTACAGTAGTTCGAATGTTTTCGAACTCTTATCTCATACAAGAGCAGTAAACGCACGCATTTCAAAGCGAAATTAGACGCAAAGGGGCAATTTTTCAACAAGATTCATTGTTAAATTATGTTTCCTATGTGCCTTGGGAGCAAAAAAATATGATTTTAAATTTGGAGATTTCGGTAAATTTTTTTGCAATTTGGCCTGGTATTGCACCCTACCTATGTACTAACTGTGCTGTAAAAGTAATCAAATATACTATTTTTAATTTCCTTTCTTTGAAAGGTTCTACTATTGTGGACTAAACTAAATTTTAATCAGCATACAAGGCTGCAAACAACAGCCAATAATTAGCTGGGTACTTTGCAAACTTTAAAAATAATTGGACCTCAAACTTTGATCCCCAAAAGTAAACAAATGGCCAATACTCCGAACATAATCCAAGTTTTGATCACGAGGGGCAATTTTTAGATGTAAAAAAACTTGTTTAAATTACACATCAAACTAAGGCAAAACAAAATTTGGTATTAATTTTTTGGTGAAATCGTCAAAGTTTTTTGCTATCCGCCCACGCTTCTACACCCCCTCTCCCAGGATATTTTACCTCAAAAAACAGTTTTTTGCAGAAACTATGCTTTTTTATCGGAAAAATGTTTACTTTTCTCAAAAAAACATTATAAACACGGAAACCTTAAATATTTAAATAATTTTCATACCTTTTTGGGATTGAAAAAAGCAAAATTTGATTCATTATCCCACTTTTTAAAATATATGTGACAAAGTTGCTTCAAAATCACCATCACACAGTAGCATGTTTATTTACTCTCATCCTTTTGACTGAATAAGGTTTATCGTTTTGAAAAGCTATTTGTTTTATAGCTCTTGGTTACCGGTTTACGTTTATGTCGATTTTGGCACCCATGAGACCAACAAGTTGTGGTAATCCGCGAATGAAAATGGATATTCGAAGAGCACAAACATAGGCGTACGGGAAGGGGGGGGGGCGGTGGAGGGCGGCAGCCCCCCCCCCCCCAAAGTTTGGGAAAGGTCGATTTTTTGGGCACGCAAGGAAAATTTGGGCAAGCGTTTGTGGCTTGACTTATTTTTGTTATTGTATAAAATTTATTAATCGACGATAACTTACGTTCTCCTATCTTTGGTTTATTGCACAATCGATCAGTCGATCTAGTCGATCACTGGTTACTGAATCAAAACCATTGTCAGAATCGACTTCCTCGCCCAAGCGCCTAAAACTTCGCTCACTGTCATCGCGGCCACTCATGGCGTGCCTTGGGCAACATCCAGGCCATCCACAATTTCATTGAAGGAAGCCCTAAGCGTCACGCGTTATTTAGCGACATTGAAGTTGAGGATGAAAAGTAAAAACAAACACTAAAATCATTAAGTGTTACGCGATGGTCCTGTCACTGGGAAGCGGTAAAAGCGCTTAAAACGCTTCTCAAATTGTCTTCAGATAAAGATCCTAAGACTTACAGGGACAGCAGATCATTATTAACATCTTTGTGCGACATGGATTTCGTATTTGGTTTATGTGTGCTCAGAATAATTCTAAGCAATACAAATAGTTTGAGTCAGTATCTTCAAGGAAAAGAAGTTGATGTTCTGTCAGCGCGAAGAATATCCAGCACGACCATAGAGACACTACGCCGTTGCAGAAGTGAGCAAAATTTTGACCTTGTTTGGCAAATGGCATCATTAATGGGTCTAAAGATGAAGTCTTGGTTGGGAAATTCGTTGTTTAAGGTACGAGAGGCAACAGTACCACGCCATAAGACATCGCGACGCCTACAGGCCCTTGTGGGTGAATCACCCGGAGATCGCATTCAGGTGACACCAGAATCTCATCACAGAATCAACACATATTACCTGTCTATCGACAAAATACTTTCCGAGCTTGAAGTGCGATTCAGCGGAAATGATCAGCAAATACTTTACGCCCTTGGTGATGTCTGCCAAAGTGAAACCCCCAAAATGGAGAGCTTCACCACAGTTGCTGAATTTTATGGTATGGATGAAGAGATTCTACAGGTAGAACAGAAAATGTTCACCACGTTTTGTCTTAAGCGTGGATTACCCGAAGGAAAGAAACTTTCAGAAGTTCTTGGATTCATGCAAGAGAACCACTTATTTGAAATGCTTCCACAGTTTACTCAAGTAATGGTAATACTTGCAGTCATACCAGCCACATCATGTTCCGCAGAACGTTCATTCAGTGCCCTTCGCCGATTGAAAACATACCTCCGCAATACGATGAGTCAAACGCGGGTGAACAGCATCGCATTGATTAACATAGAGAGGGCCTATGCAAACGCTGTGATGAATAATGAGATTGACCGCATTATTGACATATTTGGCAGCAGAAAAGGAAGAAACAGCTACTTTTTTTGAAGTATTCATCGTTCGCGACATTCGTTGATCGTGAGCGAGCGCAATATATATTTTAGAACAGTAGAATTGTCTATTTAATTAGTTGTATAAATATATTGACATTTTTTGGGCAATGTGGAATTTTTTGGGCAAAAAAGCTACCGCCCCCCCAGAATTTAGCGGCCCCGTACGCCTATGAGCACAAAAGCCAACTCCTAGCTATGTAACTTTATCGCCTGAATTTTGAATCAATCCAAAATTAAAATGCTGATAATGTAGATGCTTTCCATACTTGAGATGTTAGTGAAGTTTTTCCTACAATTTAATTTCCTTTATCGCCGTCTTAAAAATGCAAAATCATCAGTTGAAATTTCACTCGTGTTGTTTTTTCAAATTTTCGAATTTTTGTAAAAAATCGCGTGCGCCAGCAATTTCTCTGCACAGCGACAACAAATTCCCAGCTGCTCTGAAATCACAATGTTTGAAAGAAAACATCTTAAAAGCCAAATATAAATTATATAATACTCGATGTGAATTTATAACTTGATTAAACTGTAACAGTTTGTCAGCATGTTAATCTATATTTCAAGATATCAGTTTGCTTCTAGTCAGTTTATTTGATCCAGACATATTGCCTTTTAATTTTTTTGACAAAACTGTTTATGTTTTAGCACTAATTTCACAGATCTTATATGAGCTAGTAACATTTATAGCAGCTCAAATAAAAAATAACCAAGTGACTGGACAGACGGGAGTTATTTCGTATTTTGTAGCAATATAAAAACTTTTGTTTGCGGTAATTTTCACCAAGTTTGTCGCTAGCTCAAGCGGTAAAGGCGCTGCGTACCGAAAGTGAAACGCAGTCGGGGTCGGGATCGATGCCGGACATTTATTATCTGATTTAGCTCTTTTTCTCAATTTTTTGTAATTTTTTTCTTCCTTCCTTTTTTAACTCTTAAAAGTTAGGCCGGTTAGTGTTTGGGATCGGTATTAAATCTAAAGTGCTTTAAAAAAGTTTTAATCTTTTTTTATCTGGTTGAAAATGTTTGAATATTGAGTTGCGAACTCAACCGCTGGTAATTCTAATTGTGATCGCGGGCACCGACAAAGAACGCCCGGGATGTAGTAAAATCCGAGTCAATCTCGTACCCAGAGCAATGCCTGTGCGCGGGCTAGGATGGCATTGGCTCTGGGGAAATTGAAACCGGAACCCCTAAATTCTGGGGTTCCGGTTTTTTGTCGGCATGCACGATTGATAGACGTTAAACCAATCACAGCACAGGAAAAATTCAATTTCCCCAGAGCCAATGCCATCCTAACCCGCGCACAGGCATTGCTCTGGGTACGAGATTGAATCCGAGTTGGTTGCTTTCAACATGGCGGCCAAGATCCGGAAGTAAAATGTGCCGGCACAAAAACTTCAAAGGTTCCGACTCGAGTGAAGCTTCTGCTCTATTTCTATTTTGTGCTACTGGAGCGGAAAAAAATTAAAAAAGATGAGTTATCACCACTGAGCTATACTATATTACTGGAGGACCTGCTCGGGATAAAAAAGTGTCCGCAAAAACATGGCGGATCTGACGCCATTGCCATGACTACTGGTCCCTAGATTCATGGCAACTACCACTGCCCCAACCGCGATCCTAAGCTTTCAACAATGTACTTCACCCCCCTGGTTTCAGCCCAAAAATTTTGTTTTCGAGGTGAAAATCTCATTGAAAATCTTATATTTTTATCCCAGTTTGCTTGATTTACAACGGACACTGCCTTTTTGCGCCGCTCGTATGTATGAGAACTCTTCAAACAAGAACTAGAAGAATATTTTTATTCACCGGTAAGATTTTTACGGATTTTTATATATGAATATTTCTAGATTCTAGCTTGCTTGATTAAACTCGATAGAATTTATAGAAATACAAATCCCCGTAGGAAAAATGGTTGGGAATTCTGTAATTTTATTGTTCTTGTGATTTACCACTAGCCTCTGTGGACTCTGTGTTTTCATATGGTTTTAAAGGCTGCTTGTGGTGTTAAAATCCTTACTGAGCACTTATATATTGACAGTGTTATAGAGATACGGTATATTAAAGCAAATTTTCCCTGACAAACTTTGAGCGTGCTTTGAGTGATATATATCCTTGCCAGGTTCTTGTAGCAGTTATTTATAATTTCATGCTGTGTAGTTATATTAAATGTCACTTCTACAACAGGCAAACTGAAAAATTGCTTTGCTAGGCCAAAGATAATGTATCAAGTTCAAACCATTCAAATGATTCAATACCCATTGCAATCAAGCAATAACCATAAACCTCTGAATATATAAGCCCCAATGACAGACCCCAAATATAAGCCCTCCTGTGTAGAACGGCCACCATAAGAAATTCTGAATATAATTAAGCCCTCTCCCAAATTTAAGTCCCTCAGTCTGTGTTAGCCAATGGACTTATTTTTGGACAAGTATTTTTTAATGCAGCAAAGGGATCCATTCCAACAGCTCAGCCATCAAAAATGCTAATGAATGCATACAAGCATTCAGAGGTTTACATGGTACATTCATCTGACCAACATAGTTTGTCAGAGTTCTATAAATCCCACAGCCATTAGAGTTGTAGTTAAGTATTTGTAGGAATGAATTAAGGGTGTGTACGTGCCAGCCAATGCATATTCTCTCAATCACTGCCCTTGGCATTGACCGAAATTGTGCCCTGACAATTAACCAATCAAATTGATGATTGATAACATGTTTGAGAGCATCTTCAGTGGGATTGTTACTGTTCCCAGTATTCAGTTAGACATTATTTATGAACTTTCTCTCTTAGATCTGCATACATTAGATTATTTTGATATATTCTAATGTAAAATGAAACTTTGGGATAGTTAAGAAATACAATTAATCCATTTATAATGGACAATTGTCATCTTGACAAGTAAAATTTCCTGGCATATTAGACAGGCTTATAAATGCCAGAACTTATATATGTGAAAAATTACTGAGTGAGTCAATTTATTTGACATACCATGATATTAATTAACCATTAGGTTGCATTGTGCCCTAATGCACCCTACTTTATTATTTTACTCTGTCTAACACCAGACAGTTGTGGACTGGAGAGCCATGCATTAACATATCAATAATGTCTAAGTGAACAGTTCAGGCTCTGCTCTACAGTAAATTTCCCTGTAATCGGAGTCTGGGATCTGTGACCCAATACATCTTCAGTGTCTTCATATGATACTGTCACTATTTTATATGCATAATGGACATTTCTAATTCAGGGCGAAACTGATGTAAGTCATGTGGACAAGAAATTAATACAAGTTCTTTTGAATGTGAAAAAAAAGAGTAGTTTGCCAGACCTAACTGGCAGAACTAACAATGACTTTTCTCTATAATTTTGTGGGAATGTGTTATATTTACTCTGTACAAACAGCCAAAAAATGATGCATGAGCTCTAGTTTTAATAATACTGTATTATATATTTTAAAATTATTCACTGCATGGTCAAAGAATAATTATGAAATTAGCAATTTTAATTAAAATAAATAATAGACAAAATCAAGCAAATTTTTGTCTTTAATTAGTTTTGAAACATTACTGCAATACATGTTTCTTGGTATGGAGTTTCACTAACAACAGGGCATGAACTCTAGCCTCCTCCACAGGCATCTCACCCGAGGAATCGAGTGATGGGAACCCATTTGCAGGCTAAAATGCAAACAGGAAGGGGAAAATGGGCATACGGGAAGGGAAAAATTATGGGGGCGGAAAGAAATTTGCCCGACTTTTTCGGATTGTGCCCGAGTTCCAAACTTTCCAAAAGTGTTG